CGATCAAACAGCATGCTTATGGGCTCCCTTTGCCTCTTTCTCCTTCTGAATGGTGTATTGAAATGATTCAAAGAACTTCCCCTGTTTTTCTTCCCTATTTGCAGAATGTTTTCTGCCTTCAAGCTGCTTAATGGGGAGTCAAGCTGGGCTTGGACAAGATTTCACCTTGCTACACCTTTTTTTTTTTTGGTTGGGTTCTGAAAAATGTGCGATTTTTTCTGACATAGAAAGGCTCTTTATTATGCTCAAATAAAAGCCAATTATTTGTTGTCATGCAAACTGCCACTGATGACTCTTAGATGTTAGAATGCCAGCTCTGGCTGTGATCCATTGGATTTACAAAAGGTTTCATTCATCCACAGAGCCTGTATCTTTGACAGAGTAGATGTCACATAGTGGCCTCCCCTCCAACCTCCTGTGATAATGTTATTCCACAAATACCTTCTATATAGAATGACCAGTACATACAAAGTAGGTTGTTGCCAAGTAACAGAGAATTTTTTTACACTACTTTCTCCATGGATTTTTTTTCTCCACTCAGAGTGGCTTCTCTCTACTTTGTTATTAAGCAGGAACAATCTGTCTGAGAATTTTCTGCGCAAATATGTGTCATTTGCAATTGTCTAACTATTACCTTTGAATAGGTTACCCAGTGTGATAAAGTGCTGGTATTAACCTTATTTGAACTTAAATCTGTTCATTAAAACACTTTTTCCCCAGTCTTAAATGAGATGCCTAAATAGAATTGACAACTCCCACTAGAATCTGTGAGTAGGATGCAAAAATGAACAAATTATTCCATGCCAGATCAGCAGAATTATTTCCACCTTGTCTGGACCTCCTGTTTGGCATTAGCTACCTACCAATTAATCACTTTGCTTTTCTGGTAGTATGAAGCATGGGGTGAAGGGAAATAGGATGTAAAAAAGAAAAATGATTGGGAAAAAGAGCCAGATGGTTTATTATAACATAATAAGTACAAGGATGCTGTTGGTTAATATCATAACTAGACTATTACGAAGACTAACAAACTGTTCCCCCTGCATTCACATACACACACACCAACTAAAACCATCCATTTTTTTTTTCAAAATCAGAGTAGACTTTGTTACAAATAAGGGTAAAGCAATCTCCTTTAGGGTGCACTATGAATGCAGATGGAGGCAAAAATGTCTGTCCTGTAGGCTTTTAAAAGTGTTGATTTGCTAACAGAAAGGGACATTTAAACTCTGCTTCAGGCAATAATATAGTTTAGCACTGAATTTACAGTGGTAATATTCCCAAATATTTAGAATAAGTGAAGCATGTAATAATAATATCAGGGAGAAGGCAGAATAGGCCAGTGAAAGTCAACAAGAAAGTAAAGTGTAGGGTTAGGTAACGAGTTGATTGTGTCGGATGCAATTCATTTTGATAGTGACGGTTGGAAGATTTTATTGAATTGATTTGAGTTTTTATATACAGAATACTATAGCTTTCTTAAAAGTCAAAAGTTATTAAAATCTTATTTTGAAACTTTTTTAAAATGAGTATTCCAAAAATGTCTTTTTTAAAAAAAAAAAAATCTTATTTTGAATCCATCACCAATTGTGATATATTTTTTAATCTAGTTCGTATTTATTTATTTTAATCTGCTTTTATCTGGAATTCTTATCTGTGACCATAAAAACTATTATTTTAATAAAAGCTCAATCTTTTGTGTGTATACAAAAGCAAAGTGTGGCATCATATTTAGTTCTGAGCAGAAGTTATGAGCTCTCTCCCCCATCCAAATTTAGTAAAGGCAACATAATTTTCATAGGTATGGAATGTTTGGTCCAAGAGCCAATATTTCTTTCCTTCTTTAATACGTATGTACACTTTTCATCCTGAAGTTTCAATCCCATTAGTTATTATAGCTTGTTGATAAGAGAAGAGGATTCATTCTGAAGAGAAGCCTAAATCCCTATCCAGAAAGAAAAAAAGGAAGGTGTACCTTGAGATTTCCTTCAACATCCTGAAATGCCTTTTTGCCTTTTACTAGCACTTGTATTTCCAGTTCAGCTGTCTGTATATCCCATAGGTTCAGCTACATACTATATAGTTAGATTATAGTAAATCCCAACGTTCCTCATTCTGTACTTCAACCCCACAAACTCCAGCCAGGATAGGAATTGACACATTTGGAGGGCAATAGGTTGGAGAGGTTATTGGGAAAAAAACAGAATTGGGTCCGAGCCACAGCCACGGTGGTGCAGTGATTAGAATGCAGTACTGCAGGCTACTTCTGCAGACTGCTGTTGCCTGCAATTTGGCAGTTCAAATCTCACCAGGCTCAAGGTTGATTCAGCCTTCCATCCTTCCAAGGTCAGTAAAATGAGGACTCAGATTGTTGGGGGCAATATGCTAACTCTGTAAACTCCTTAGAGAGGGCTGTAAAGCACTGTAAAGTGATATATAAGTCTAAGTGCTATCGCTATCGCTATCTGCAGTGGTGTATTCAGCCAGTTCTGCTGAATTGTTTGTAAATTTGCTGTCTGGCCCCACCCCACCCTGCCCCTTCCTTCCCTACCACTTCCAGGAGTCCCCATGTGCCCCATTTTGGCTCCCAGGAAAGTGCAGGGAGGCCTAATAGGCCCAAAATGGGGTGGGGGGCTGTGGAGTGCCCCCCCAGCCTGTTTTTGCTCCCAGGAGGCTGCAGGGAGGCCTACTAGGCCCAAAACAGGGCACAGGGGGTTGGCACCCTCCCCCAGCAGCCCATTTTTGCTCCCAGGGGGATGCAGGAGGCTGAGTGCTGCCTGTCGCTACCCCCTGGCCACATCCACCAGGGCCATGCCTACCCAGTCATTAGGCCAGAGAACTGGTTGTTAAATTATTTGAATCCCACCACTGGCTATCTTGAACATAAACTGTTTCAACTCCTTCCCGCGGGATGTTGCTACAGAGTATAGCATGCCAAAACAATCAGACACAGAGACAGTTCCTTGTGTGTCTAATCACATTTGGCCAATAAAGTGTTCTGTTTTGTTCTGTTCTTCTTCTGGCTTTACACTAAGCATCTAGTTGGTATATGTGTTTTGTTCTTGTTGATTTTTTTTTTAAAAAAGTAATCTTTACCTGCATAATCTATTTGTGTGTGTGTTACCTTTCACTCAAGACTGTGTTCTGTTATCATTTCAGTGCCCCAAGCACAAATCAGAATATTAGTCTTCTGGAAGATTCCTGAACTTCTTCCAGGCTACTTTTCCAAAATGAAAACTGTCCAGCAGCTTCTGACAGAGGCAGGAAGAGTCTGTCTCCTCGTTTGACAATTTTTTTAAAAAAATAAATCTGCTGTGTTATTTTTCCAAGAATGAGGGCTAGAAAAAAATTGTATTCTCAAATTTCCCTTCCTTAAAAGAAGTTTTGTGTATATAACGCTTCCTATCATTGTTACAAAACACAAGATTACCAATATTATGAAAGGACCCAGCAAGCGATGCTGAATGCTGGATTTAAAATGAAACACTGAAATTCTAGTTTAAACGTGCTTTAGAAGGATTGCATAGAGCTGTTCATCTACCTCTGAGGAAAGGTTTATTTTAATGTGATGCTATGTAGGCCGCAACCCATATAGATGCCATGTGGCTTTTCCGAGCCAATTCATCTTTCTGTGTAGCTATTTACAGTTTTTTAAAAAGTAGAAGTGTGTATCCTGATGCTGAAGGGCCACTCGTAACATTGAAAGCCTTGGAGATATCCCATGGAGATCCTAGTAGGTGTAACCATTTTTCATGTGACAGAAGGGAGAAATTATTATGTTTATAGGGAGTAATCATATTAAAGGTAAAATCACCCTTGAGTCAAACTCCGTTTTTGATGTCTGCTTTCATGCTGTTTTACTGGCAGTAACATAAAGGTAGTTTGCCCTTGCCTTCAGTTCTGATGTGTGTTGTACATTAGATAAGTGGTTTACCATTGCCTTTTTTGGATTTTTTTTTAAACTTTCCAATCTATTTTTCAGCCCAGGAATTCTTTGATATGTATTAACCTGGTCTGATCTTGCTTAGTATTCAGATCACCCATATTCAGCTAAGTGTTGCCACTTAGCTGAGCATTAATGTTATTTCTATTTAATTACTTTTAAATTCTCCTAAAAGCCAATTAAAGCCCATTTAACTTCAGTTGGACTCCACCCACTCCTTTCTGATGGTTTTACGGTATGGCCCACGGTGTGAAACACAAAGAGTCTAGGGCAGCTTTGAGCCTTCAAAACTTGTTCAGTTGCTTTAAAAGAAAAGTAATGCTTGAAAGAATATCCAGGAATGTATTTCCTTAGAATTTTGCCACTTTGACAAAATGAGTCCTATCCTAAAAGCCTCCATTCTTCTTTGCTTTTCTCTTGAGAATTATAATATAAAGGGAAAGGCAGCTTGGTCTAGTCTAGTGGTTAAGGCACCATGCTAGAAACTGGAAGACAGAGAGTTCTAGTCCCGCCTGCATATAAGCTATCTGGTCCTAGTCAGGACCAATTACATGTAAGCCACCTGGGTGACATTGGGCCAGTCAGTTTCTCTCAGCCCAATTCACCTTCCAAGGTTGTTGTGGGGGAAAAATAGGACAGAGTATTAGTTCAATGATTGCCACCTTGAGCTACTTATAAAGTAATGAAGGTGAGATAAACGATTTAAATAAATAATAAAGATGTACAGACACTACTTTACTCTGCTCAAAAGAATAAACATAAAGACATGATTCTGTGTAACTGTTTAAAAGGCATCTGCAAAGATGCACTCTGGATTTGGGATATTTATTTATTAATTCCATTTAATGGCCACCCATTGCTCCAAGGAAACTCTGGGAGGCAGACAAAGTCAAAATAAGGCATTCCATTAAAGCCTGTGAAAGCAAACTGAGTAGAGTAAAAGCACAAAACCAATTAACATTATGTGTTCATATTAGTATATGGGTTTGTATGTGTATATGTATATGTGTTCATGCCTGTGAACCCCCATTTTAATGCTTCCTTTCTTTCCTTACAGAATCTGATGTTGCAGATTTTGATGGGAGGAGCTCCCTTCTCTACAGATTCAATCAAAAGCTGATGAGCACCTTCAAAGACGTGGTTTCCCTGAAGTTCAAGAGCATGCAGGGAGATGGGGTTCTGTTTCATGGTGAAGGGCAGCATGGAGATTACATTACCCTGGAGCTGCAAAATGGGAAGCTTTCCTTGCACATCAACCTGGGTTTGTCCAAACATTTCAACTTATCTTGCATAAAGTTCTTCCTGCTCTTGGCTCTTTTCTGACCTTTCCCCACTGAGTTGAAGGGCTGTCTGCCCATCTGTGAGTCAGCAGGAAAGGATAGTTGCTTTTGCATCTTAGGAGGTAGAATAAGGAGGAGCGTGTGATTTCAACATCAGAAAAAGTACGGCTATTTAAGAGGTTGGGGCGGAAAGGAAGATAATATTGTGGGGACATGGCAGGGGGAAAAAATGATGCAGAGCCTGTTTTGTCATGAGATTAGATATTAGAAGGGAAAGGCTGTTAGTCTGCAGTTAATGTAACCAGCAGCCACTTGAGATTTTTTGGGGGGGAAACAGAGAACAATGTGCTGCTATGATAGATAAGAAATAGAGATGATAGAGATAGATAGATAGATAGATGATAGATAGATAGATGACATATAGATGACACATAGATAAATGATAGATGACATATAGATGACACATAGATAAATGATAGATGACATATAGATGACACATAGATAAATGATAGGTAGAAGGATAGATAGATAGATAGATAGATAGATAGATAGATAGATAGATAGATAGATAGATGATAGAGATAGATAGATAGATAGACAGATAGAGAAAGATAGATAGAGATAGAGATAGAGATAGAGATAGAGGTAGACAGACAGACAGACAAACAGACAGACAAATACCATGTTTTCCCAAAAATAAGACACTGTCTTATATTTTTTTGAACCCTGAAATAAGTGCTTGGCATTATTGCCATGTGCTCAAAAGCCCGATTGGGCTTTTTATCAGGGGATGTCTTATTTTGGGAGAAACAGAGAGAGAGAGAGAGAGAGAGAGATGATACTGTTTGTATGTTTTAAATTCAATTTGACCCAGAAATTATGGCTTCAGCTTTGTACAAGAATAGATTATATACCTTTATACAATCAATAGAAGTTTGTAATACAGAAGTAAAATACTTACCCCTCAATTTCTAGGATAGATTTTGACTTTCCATCTGAAAGAAAATCTAGGAAAAATAAATACTAGCTGCAAATGAAATTTTGATGTTTTCAATATCTTCCTCTTCACAAATGTCATAGCTAGGTTTATGGACTATACCTCTGTTTAATGCATATAAATATTCCTTGACTTACGTTCACGCTAAACCCAGAATTTTGGCTGTAAGTCATTGTTATTGTTAAGTGGGTCATCAATCTTATCATTATTTTTATGCGGGTCATAAACTGAGTCACCATGGTTGTTAAGTGAATCCAGCAGAATCCAAAAGGCATTATTTGCTGTTTTCTACCAGAAGATGTTGAAAAAGGTCACAAATTGCAATCATGTAACTGCAGGACACTTCAACCAGTTGTAAATGTGAGCCGCTTTTAAGGCACCTGAAATGCGATCATGGTATTGCAGGATGTGTGTAAGTGTGGCAGTCATAATTTCGAGGACGGATCATAAGTAGCTTTTTTGAAGTCCATCGTTACTTTGAATCAAATTCATTAAATGACTGGTCATTAAGCTAGAACTACCTGTAATGTAAGTAAGAAATCTGGCACAACATTTTAAAAAAATAATAATAACAATTAAAAAAAAAACACCTGACATTCAAACAGCAGTTTGATCCCATAGTCATTCCAAGAAGCACTAACTAAGGGGGGAGAGAGAGAGAGAGAGAGAGAGAGAGAGAGAGAGAGAGAAGGCTTCTTCCCACAGCTTGGAAAACAGGCTTTTTAAAGTTTGTGATGGGGGTGGGAGTGGGCGATGAAGTGAAAGAGAACCCTTAGCTAACATGTGTTCAACAGAAATAAATTAAATTTGTCTTACAAATTATTCCATTTTTAATTTGAAAGGGTGCTGGATCTTAAAGCTGCTCTGTCAATATAGGCAATGGAATGATTGAATTTCTAATTATCTTCCCATCCTTATTTAGTCATGATGTGGAACATACCAATTGACTCTACCTGTAATTCTATATTTGTTAATCTGAAAAGAAAAATCTTAGTTCTACCAGTACATATTATATTACTTCTACCTTTAAATGTTGTATCCTTGCTAGGACTTTCCTCCCTGCCCCAATAAAATTACTAAGTATTGTATAGAACAGTGGGAGTTGAAATCCACCCATCTTAAAATTGTCAAGGTTGAGAAACACGGATATAAAGTGTGAAAAGGATATTCTAGTTCTGAACTAGCTGTTATAACTATAGGGTATACAGTATATTATGTTAATCACAGAGAATCCATGCAAAGTTGGACATTTATAGCCAGAAAGTTATTTCTGAAATGACCCTGTGTCTTGAATGAGACATCTGTCGCTTAGTTTTTTCTTTCTCTATGTGTTTCTTACACAAAAGCAAAGACAGAGCAAAGTACATTTTCTCAAAAGTGAGCGTGCTTGATTTACTTTTGAGATTGATATGCCTAATTACATCCATGGTACTAAAGATTCTGAAACACTGAATTGCTATTTACCACCCAATGCAATATGTATTTGTCCAAAGGAAAATCGTTTTCATTACAGTGAGGTGATTTGCAGAAGTGTGTATAGGATTCTAGCTTCAAGGAGATGTGTTCCTGGATGTTTTACCATCTATGCTGCCTGAATGACATTAATTGACAAAATGGATTGATTCCACTTAATTCCACTTACCCATAACTTTTCCATAAACATATGGTTGATTCTTTACGTGCTCCTTTCTTTTGAAACCAGAAGAAGGGTGCTTTGCTTATGTATACTGTGGGTTAATTTATTTAGAAATGTGTATCATTTGCAACCTCCTTGGCTGCATTTAGGCCTTGTCTGTTTTGGCTGATTAAATAAAAATGAGCTTGTTAGGCTGTCAGATTGTCAGAAATAGTGATTTTATTTAGGCGTTGTTAATTTCACTTCCTTTCAAATGCAGTCTTGCCAAGCAGACTGTGCCCCAACCAGTGAATTTTGCTTATAAAATGCTTGGAAAAATTTGAACCAAAGGATTTGCATTCTGTCAAATCCAATGACATTGCATTGTTCCAATGTGCCACTCGGAGACAAAGTGGAAAAGTTAGATTAACCCGATTAAAACTTCTTTCAAATCATAGATTTAAAGTTGGGGCAACTTCTCCCATGAAAAGCAGGAGGAAGCAGGAAGCTATAAGAGAATTAGCAGGTAGAGTGAAGGATACAGTAAGTACAGTGACAAGGCAGCTGAAAACATGGAGCCCTTTTTTGTAGAATTGAGCAGAAAATAATGAAGATAGATATGGAAGGGGAAAGAAAGACTTACCTTATTTCAGAAAAGGAAATAAATGAAAAGTCTTTAAAAATGCCTCAGATTTCCTTCAGGCTGCTTTCTGTTTGCAAATCTATATTGAGGAGAAGAGGCTTGGGAGCAGTACCCTCTTAAGGTTTGCATATTTGAAGAGATTTGTGGACAAGTTATAGGGGAGTTATAGGGTGATGTATTGTTTCAGAGGTCCTGGGAGAATAAGTAGCAAAAATCCCTTACAGTTCATTTTTGAAGATAGAAAGTGAAGGGAAACAAAGGCTGCCTATCTTTACTACTGTGTTTCCCCAAAAATAACACCTATCCCAAAAATAAGCCCTGCCATGTTTTTTGTGTGGGTGCCCAATATAAGCCATATCCCCAAAATAAGGCCTTCTTAAGCACCTACGCAGTCGTCCAGCTGCTCATTCCATCTGGTTGCTTGTAGTATCATTGCCGTGAGACCTCCTGCCGTGCCACGAGGAAGCAGAAGAAGTGGGCCTCCCATGTACTCTTAAAGTATATGGAAAAAAACAAGACATTCTGCAAAAATAAGCCCTAGTGCTTATTTCGGAGCCCAAAAGAAAATAAGACCGGGTTTTATTTTCGGGAAAACTTGGTATTGCTTAGGCAGAAACAAACCTTAACTAGGAAGGAAGGGGATTATCTGTAGGCAAGGTGATTCAAAGTAAACCTCATGGCCTGAGCATACCATAAGAATGGTAACTTGAAGTATCTCTATACTTAAAGCAAGGTTGTGCTGTGGTTGGGATCCGATGTGAAAGACTTTGTAATGCACGGGAGCATAAGCACAATATTTGTGCACCTGTCTGGGATTCATTACAATATATGCAGCATTTTCCAGGATTGTTTGGTTCCTGTGGGCTTCTGTGTGGCTGCTTTACTGAGGTGTGAGCAGATATGGCATTCACCCTCATTCCAAAACACCACTTCTGAACAGAATCCAAAGCATTGCACAGCCCTAATCTATATTTTTACCTATCTATATGTGTCTGTCTGTCTGTCTGTCTGTCTGTCTGTCTGTCTGTCTGTCTGTCTGTCTGTCTGTCTGTCTGTCTTGTGTCTGTCTGTTGTCTATCTATCTATCTATCTATCTATCTATCTATCTATCTATCTATCTATCTATCTATCTATCTATCTATCTATCTATCTCAAATTCCAGGATTCCCATTCTTTGTATAGCAGCAGATTCTTCTTTATTATTTTAAGTGGGCTGGAGGTCAGTCATAACAAACAGAAGTTTTTGTGCTGTGGCTAATGCTAAATCCTAAGGATTAAGTGGAGAGTTAAAAGCATAATACATAAAGGCTGCCTCCAAAACAGCAAAGCAGCTAGGCTTCTCACTAGTACGACTAATGCAGTCTGTAAAATACTAATGACGTCTGTGGTTTATATGGATTGGATTATTTCACCCCAGTCTGACTTTACTTTTTGCTTTTTTGCTTTTAAAAAAGCTGTGTACAATACCCATTTGGCTGGCAAGATTCTAGTATCTAATTTCTGCTGTCTCAGATGACCTTGGTCTGTTAGAATTATGCCAGTTTTGAAGTTGAAGAACAAAGTGAAAAGAAGACTATAAGGAGGTGTTTGGTAGTTGGGGGCTTTTAGACACTGTGATGATTTGTTGTCCTTCCCAGGTAAACAAGATAGGAAACACAACTAGATGATTCTATTGTATTGTAAGGCTATGCTAAATTTTGAAAAACTGAAGTTATTATCTTCCCAC